GACCTGAGGGGAGGCACAGGGATTGGTCCTGTCGCTGTCTCTTATACACATCTAGATGTGTATAAGATCACACTATGAAACGATGATGATGATGTATGATCAGGGCTGCATTACAACATTGATTGTTCGGATCACTGGTATCTAAGTCTTCCGCTGTGCTATCTTATACCTTGTATTGAAAGGTCGGTTCTTGTTCTGGTCTGCACCTATACGGTATACAACAGAGAGAGAGAGAGGACAACATACTCCATTCCAGGTAGCAATAGTCTACAAGGAGTGATCTCTATCATGCTAACACATTTGATTCTGTGCATGGTACATCCGTAAAGGAGGGAAGGAAACAGGAGAGCAATCGAAAACTAGTAGATTACATACCAAACCTTAAATCGTCTCAATGCACAGAAGAAATATAAGTAAAAAATGTACAATTGACGTAATGCTACAGTTTACTAAAGCACGCATAGAAAATGAATGACACAGAACAACAAATCCAGAGAAGAAAAAGAAAGCGTTCCGCCCCTTCCAGCTCTCCCCCTCTCCCCTTCCCCCCCCCACTTCCCCGCCCTCGCCCGGGATCCCCTCGGTTATAAGTTCAGCATGCTCATGCTAATGATTTACTGTCCCCTTGCTGCAGGGACACCAATGACGCATACGCTCCTCCCTTCTTTGCCATGAGCTCCTTATGGTTTCCTTGCTCGACAAGGAGGCCCTGATGCATGACTATGATAACGTCTGCATCTCGAATCGTTGATAGACGATGAGCGACTATGATAGTAGTTCTTCCGACCATCAACTGATCTAGAGCCTCTTGCACAAGCCGCTCCGATGCGGCATCGAGTGCAGATGTGGCCTCGTCAAGAAGCAACACAATGGGGTTCTTGAGCACAGCTCTCGCGATGGCGATTCGCTGCTTCTGACCGCCTGACATTTGCACTCCTGCCTCTCCGACTTGTGTATCATAGCCCCTAGGCAATGCGTTTATGAAACTGTGTGCATTAGCCCTCTTCGCCGCCTGCACTATTTCATCCTCCATAGCCAGTTCCTTTCCATACATAATGTTGTCCTTGATGCTCATTCCAAACAGCATGGGCTCTTGACTCACCAAACCGATATGTCGCCGGACCCATCGAAGATTCAATGCCCGAATGTCGTGGCCGTCGATCAGCACCTCGCCTGATGTCGGATCATAGAATCTCTCAATCAAGCCAATGACGGACGACTTTCCGCTGCCACTTGCTCCCACAAGAGCGACCTTTTGTCCCGGTTTGACCTCCAAGCTCATGTCTTGGAGGACCATTACCATGGGTCTCGAGGGGTAAGAAAACTTTACCTTCCTCATCTCTATTGCACCCTGCATTGCATTCAAAACGGCGCCTTTCTTATCATCTGCATCAATCAAAGTCTTGCGGTCCATTATCCCGAACACCGAGGCCAGCACTTGACTCCCTCGTAAGATGTCCGGCGCCAAGGTCAACGCCTCGCTGATCCCAAAGGACGCCACAACGAGGACCATGAACGTCTTGAACATTTTGCCGAAGTCCGTCTCTCTGTCCCGCACAAGAGTCATGCCGTACCACAAAACGAGTGCGAAGGACGCATACAGAAGCATCTGGGAAATCCCGAAGACCAAGCCAGCCATCTGACCCCTTCGAAAGCTGTTCCGCATAGGAATGTCCACCTCCTTCGCGAAGAGGCTCACAACCTTCTCCTCGGCACAGAATGCCTGCACCGTCCGGATATTAGCTACTGCCTCACCGGCAATCGCGCTCGCCCTCTCATAGGCTTTCACCAGATTTCCAGCGAAGCCCTTCATCATCAAGTTCTGTTTAATGCCAAAAAAAGAAGAAAGGAAGGAAAGGACCAATCAACAACAGAACAAGCGACCCAGCAAGCAAGCAGCACAACAGGGAAGCACACATCTCTCTGACTCAGTGTTCAATGATGCTCATTACTTACCTAGGAGATTAGAAATACAAATCTGATGTTGCACTGCTTATTACATCCTGCATGACAAACCTAAAAATTATACAAATGGGATGAACAAAAGAAGAAAAAGAGATCTGAATGAATGATGAAGAACCACTCAAAGCTGAGAGCTGGAAAAAAAAAAAAAGAGAATGCTTTGCCTAGCTCAGTTGGTACACCCCTGAAATGTTGAAATTTGAAATACGGACCCAAGTTCGAACTCCACGGGAAGCAGATGAGTGACATACTACAATTCTGAATTACCTAGAAGGGAAAAGAAAGGGGAAATTTGTCTTGCACCCCTGTAATTTCCATGATTTTGCACTGTGCACCTCTGACAGCAGATTTACCCTGTCGCCCCCCTCTTATCATGATTCAAATTTCCCATAAAACGCCGGTGTAGGTTGGGGCCCCAGCCTCGAGTATTTTTGTTATGCCCCTGCTGGTACCGGTTCCAAATTCGCAGCATGCCCCTACTGGATAGCCGTTAACTGCAAGCGGGGAAGTTTTCAAAATGCCCCTAACGGTACCAGTAGTAGCCTGTCTCTGAGTAATTACAACCTCTCTCTCTCTCTCTCTCTCTCTCTCTCTCT